TTTGAAGTTTTTGACATATTTGACCCCTGTGACCTTGAAAACAGGTCAAGGTCATTTTCGTTCTCAAACTTTGTAGGGCTCCTACCAACGAAGCTTTCAGTCAAATATCATGACTCTAGGCCTGTCCGTTCTTCAGAAGAAGTTGTTTAAAGGAAAAGTTGACGGACGAGGACGGACGGACGGACGCCGCGCCACGGCATAAGCTCACTTGGCACTTAGTGCCAGGTGAGCTAATAACTGAGATCTTGGTGTTAGCATCCTCTGTAATCTAACTGTGACCTTGGTGTTAGCATCCTCTGTAATTTTACTGTGACTTTGGTGTCAGCATCCTCTGTAATCTGACTTTGACCTTGATGTTAGCATCCTCTGTAATCTAACTGTGACCTTGGTGTTATCATCCCCTATAATCTAACTGTGATCTTGGTGTTAGCATCCTCTGTAATCTAACTGTGACCTTGGTGTTAGCATCCTCTGTAATCTAACTGTGACATTGGTGTTAGCATCCTCTGTAATCTCGCGATTGATCTTTGTATTAACCTTGATGAAAATTTGTTGAGAAATAAATAGTGATTGGAGGAACAGGATGTGGCGCGACAGGAATGAAGGGCCATGTGTAACACTATTGCCCCACTCCATACTGATTGAAATATCTATAACCTATTGAATCAATGCATTTAACCCTTTCAACCCTATGTTACTTTAGTAGACTCTGCCATACATTGATATGGATGAGTCCATTATGGTCAACAGTGGTGAAAGGGTTAAGGAAGTAAAAAGATTGTTGACAGGTGAGCCTTACCCTTTTCCTTTGCTGTTTGCATGTGTCTCTCCAGACATTGTTCCCCCTTGTCACTGACCTCGTAGTCTAGAAGGTCAGAGTTGGCCAGGCAATAGATTTTACCACTTTGGTTGAAAACAGCACGTCTCCAGAATATGTCCAACTAAAAAATATTTAAGAACAAGAGGCCCAGAGGCCTTAGACCTGACAAGTAATACGAACACAAGATATAATTCCAGTCATCGATATCTCCAAGTTCAAACATTTGTACATTGTAAATAAACGTTTAGCCAATCATAGTTGAGGAATTGTTTGTAAATGCTAATTATCATGAAGTTTGATGGAAAACATGTGGGATTGACCACTGGAGTAGTGGAGTGGAGGGCATGATAAGGCTGTGCTTAAGAATGCCTCGAGGCTTCAGAGGTAGAAATTTATAGTTTTTCTACAAAAAATTCAGCCAATCAGATCATTTTTTTCCTGCTTAAGAAAATATTCATATTCTGTACATGAAAAATCTTTGTTAGATTAACTCAATAATTAGAACATTGTCATTATTTACCTGGTCTAGTGTTGTATGACTGGAGCAGATGAGGACTTCATCAGGTTGTGGTAATGGTTGTTGTCCGTCATTCATGTAGATGGTCAATACAGTGTTGAGAATATCATCTGAAAACATTTAACCACCAAATACATTTTACTGCTTTCTAAGGAAAAGATACTGAAAACTAGAAATGTGTCTGTAGGACACGGAAGCCCTGCTACCATACTTGTAAATTAAGCAAGATCACAGAGGTCAAGGTCAAATATCAAGGTTACAAATGTCATATGCAACATGCTGCAGGTATAGATGTGTATGAGTATGTAAAGTTACATGACCCTAGCTGCAATAATTCATCCATTCTTGACCTAAAAACAATGGTTTTGAGATATGCTTCAAAAAACACATCAATTTTGTACATGTACCAAAATGTTCACATTTTTAATTTATTTCCATCTGCTTTCTACAGGAGAGTTAATTGACATGTATGTCATTTAGTCTGGTGCTGATAAAAGTGGGGTAAAACACTAAAAGTTATGTCTCTACTTACTTTGTGGACAAATAATTAAATTTGGTACACCCTCCTTGAAACTCTGGATAAGGAACCTTTTCACGCCGAATGATTCTGAAATATACACAACATACTTTTGCAAATCAGAAATCCTGTTTTTTAAGAAGTTGCATGCATCCCCTGCAGTGTTATTTATATTTATGATCCAATATATAGAGGATAGCCACTGAATGTTGATTTAAACTTATATACAGTAGAGCAAGCAACTTCTCAAGTATATATTATGATATTCAGCAAGTACATGTACTAGATACTTGGGAATTACCTCCTAAAAGACATAAATCAGCTTATTGGAATTCTGTATTAAAACATTGTGATACCACCGAACTATGTTATTTCACCCTGTGCAATTACCGAAAAGTTCACTGCTGGCTAAGAATGATTTAACTTAGAGTATTTAAGGAGATGAGAGAGATGGGATAAGCAGGAATATACACCAGCATGCAATAGAAATAACAAGAATTCCACGGGAGTGGATGTGTCCCTACTCAGCACTTTTAGTAAGAAAATTTGAAACTAGACAGAAAACCCATAATATATTTTGGAAATTATTGCTTCTTGCATTACCATTCGATATTAAAGGAATCGATTAAAAAATAAAAAAAGTTCTTGCATTTACTACACAATGCCCTTATTTGGCAATAAAAGGGGCATGTAACTTCACCAAAAATGCATGTTAACTTTTAAAATGCAACCTTTTCCGAGCTATATTGGTATGCAATATGTATATACCAAGTTTGAGTTCAATTAACCAAAGGGATCTCAAGTTATCGGAAACCTTATTTCGGACAACGCACCCAACGCCGACAAAGTAATACCTATATGTCGCCTTGTTTTGCAGCAGGACAGAGTGGACAGAGTGACTGCTAAATTTGTTAGGGATAAGATACTTAACAATCTTAGATATCTGTTTAAATTCAGCACCTCACTATATACAATTTTTAAGTTTTTGAAATTGCTGAGCGTGTTATAACCTTTGCCAGCAAGGTATCTGAGGACCAGCCCGAGGTGCTCGACACTGAGGTAGTCAGACACACTGGAGGAAATTGAGGTCAGAAATCTCTCCCACAGTTTCTCAAGGTCCTTGATTAGTGGATCTACTCGTACCAATCTGAAATGTACAAACAATACAAAACAAATTCAATTTCCCAATGTGTAATTGAAGTGTGTGATAAAGTTACAGTTAAGTTTGTTCACCTTACTTTGTAATGTTGGAAGCTTTATCTTCAACAGAATTCAGAAAATCCATGAGCAAACCAGATAATTTTTGGAGGCCATTAAAACAATGAACGAACATCCGCTGCCCCCCACATATATTTTATCTACGGATGCAATATGCAAATATGTTTGCAGGGGTAAATTACCCCAACCACAAATCCCTTCCTTCATGCTCATCTACATATGATGTACTTTTACTGAACCAAATTTAAATAAAACCTAACAAACTGTTAAGTCTGAAGCAGAAATTAAATTTCAAGGGCCATAATTCCCTGAAAAATATTCGAATTGCAAATTAATGTCTCCATGAATATCTACATACATGGGTGAAAGTGAAATATTTTGAAAATACTGAAACAATTTTGGGGCCCAGGGCCGAAGCTCTGGGGGAGTCTGAAGCCCTGAAGCTGTTGATTTTAGTGTATTTTAAACCGCATTCCTCACCATATAGTTTACCCTTTTTGTAGTTTTTTCAGCTGAATGGCAAGTGATATCTTTTGATCAAATGCATAAAAAGTTCCAAGATAGGGAAGAGCGAGAACTAAACTACAACAAGAGTACCGCGGGGCGGAACAATATACGTTCGTCGAATGCCATATAGTGTTATATACTTTCTTACATTGAAATAATACCTGCATCATTCAAAGAGTGGTTAGCCGACATTCTACAGAGGGCCTGTATCGCTCCCCTGAATATGTTTTAAATAATTGGTACGAAGTAAAGATATAGCACTCCATGGTAGGTGCTGTAAGTACATATGAAATTTCAGAAAGATCCATCCAGTACTCGAGAACAAACTTCAAACAGAGCCCCCCCCATATGCCCCTAGGGGGGGCATACCCACCAATTATACAAAATTGAGACCCCTTGGTCCAAGGATGCTCCAGACTAAATATGGAAAAAATCCCTTAATCTCGATGGTCGAAGAAGGATTTAAAAGGTTTTACCTCTATTTCCCCCTATTTGGCCCCGCCTCTCTGCCCCCAGGGGGGGTAGACACACTGTTTATACAAAATTTGTTCCCCTTCACCCAATGATGCTTTATACCAAATTTGGACAAAATCCTGTCATTCGTATAGAAGGAGAAGGTATTTGAAGAATTTGCTGTTTCCCCTATTGGGCCCCTCCCTTCTGTCCCCAGGTGGGCCAAACTCGCTGTTTAAAAGAAATTGAGTCCCTTTTGTACAAGAATGCTCCAGACTAAATTAGGATAAAATCCCTCAATCCATATGGTAGAAGAAGGATTATAAAGGTTTTACTTCTTTTTCCCCTATTTGGCCCCACCCCTCTGGTCCCAGGGGGCCACACCCACCATTTATACAAAATTGGTTCCCCTTTACCCAAGAATGCTCCACACCAAATATGGAACAAATCCTTTCATTCTGACAGAAGAAGAAGGATTTTAAAGAATAATTTGCTATGTTTCCCCTATTGGGCCCCACCTCTCAGGCCCCTGGCGGGCCAGACCCATGGTTTATACAAAATTGGTTCCCCTTCACCCAAGGATGCTTCAGACCAAATATGGAACAAATCCTTGCATTCCTACAGAAGGAGAAAGATTTTAAAGAATTTGCTATATTTCCCCTATTGGGCCCTCCCCCCAAGCCCCCAGGGGGGCCACACCCACCATTTATACAAAATTGAGTCCCCTTAGCCCAAGGATGCTCCAAACTAAATTAGGATAAAATCCTTTAATCCCTACGGTAGAAGAAGGATTTTCAAGGTTTTACCTCTATTTTCCCTATTGGGCCGTCCCTCTGCCCCCAGGGGGGCCACACCCACCGTTTATACGAAATTGAGTCCCCTTGGCCTAAGGATACTCTAGACCAAATTTAGTCAAAATCTACTTGGCCGTTCAGGACTAGTAGCGTTTTAAAGGAAAAGTTGACGGACGGACGACGGACGGATGGACGACAGACAGACGACGGACGCTGCGGTATGGCATAAGCTCACCATGGTCCTTCGGACCAGGTGAGCTAAAAATGTAGGAGAAAATCTTCGGATAAAAAAATAACATACTGAAATGAACAAAGGACAATAACTTTTGCAAAAATTATCGAATAAAAAAAAATTTCAAGGAAACATAACAACATATCATGATTATTTAGCCTAAGTTTCAAAGAAATCAGTCAAAAAATGTAGGAGGAAATTGCCGGACAAAAAACAAATACTGAAATAAACAAGGGCAATAACTTTTGGAAAAAAATTGTTGAATCAAAATTCTTTTCAAGGAAACACAACAACATATCATGCTTATTTAGCCTACTAAGTTTCAAAGAAATCAGTCAAAAAATGTAGGAGGAGAATGCCGGACAAAAATCAAATACTGAAATGAACACAGGGCAATTACTTTTGCAATAATTGTCGAATCAAAATTCTTTTAAGGGAGACACAACTTCATATCATGATTATAATGTATACCAAGTTTCAAAGAGATTGGTCGAAAAATGTAGGAGGAGATTGCTGGACAAACAAAAGTTTACGCCCGACGGACAACGCCATACCATAATACTCCTGTCAAATTTGACGGGCGTATAAAAACGGTAAATTATTATACATGATATGAAACATTAAAAACACCATGATCAATTATACATGTAACTTTAAACCAGTTGTTGTTTTATTGTATAGTACATAAGTATTTATTTATTGTTTCCTCCATCCTTTCTTTTGGTTCATTATTTCTTTTAATGAGCATATTAATTATGCAAGCTAGCTGAAAAAGTTGTAAATTTTGGAAACAAAAAGGTAAATATTCTCAAATCACCCATTTGGTATAATAAATCAATAAAAATACAAAACACGAGTTTTATAGGGAATGGTATAGGAAAGGGGTAACAATAGTTTATGACTTAATTAAAGAAAGAAGAAATAAATTGTTTTACAGCCATCATGAGTTTACAGAGAAGTTTGATATTCATACAAATTTTTCTCACTTATCAAGGTGTCATTAATTCCATAAAGAAATCCATTTTACATGAGGATGTTTCTAATTTGAATGTAGATTATCCATATATCCCAATTGATTTTGAAATTTTTCTTAAACACAAAAAAGGAACTTAAGACTTTTACCATATTCTATGCCAAAATAATACAATATCTACTGGTAGAAAGAAGTGGGAGGAAATATTTGAATTTAACACAGAGATATGGAAGAAAATCTACAGTATACCATTCCCTTCAAAATTAGTAAAAACACAAAACTACAGTGGCTTCAATTTAGAATCAATCAACATATTTTAACTACTAATTCATATCTTTATAAAATAGGTCTTGTTAATAGTCCATATTGTTTTCATTGGAAAACTGACACAGAAACTATAGTTCATGCATTATGGGAATGTAAAGAAGTACAAGTGTTTTTAACAGATTTTGAATCATGTGTTATTAATTCCATTTGCTTTTAATAAAGAATCTTTCATCTTTGGTTTCTATGATAGAAAAAACAATGTTGATAATTTAGTACTTCTTATCATTAAACTATATATTTATAAAGCTAGATGTCTGCAAACTGGTCTATTAGTTTCAACATGTGAAAATAGTCAAACTGGTTTTTTTTTCATTTTTTTTTTTGTATTTGTTTGCTTCTCAACTACAATGCATACAATATTATTCTATGTATCTTGTTTCAAACTTACAAAGAATGTTTTTCTACATTGGTACCCAAATCGATGTAATAATATAAGAATGTTAAAAAAATGTCAAGACAAACAAAAAACTTGTGTGAAAATTAAGAATGTGAGACTGAAATATGATGTGTTATGTTTAATGTACTGTTGAAAAAATTCAAAAAATTCAAAAATATAAAAAAAAAATATATTAATTATGCAATTTTGGTTTAAGTGTTTTTCATTTTCTCAGTACAAGCGTGTTAAAGTGTTAAAAGCGTACCTATTATTATCATATCATACTATTTGTCATGTCTATGTATTTATTTCAATGGTGAGAGTATAATAAGGTGGTCACAGACTAAGATTATGACCCAAAACTTTATTTGCTGGGGGTATAGAAATATAGGACAGAGATGCTGAAGCTTTATACTATATAAATAGCCTGATTAATAGGTTTCAGAAACATACTCATTAATGTGCTCGAGAGTGGCTAAAAGTTCTGAAGTGACTGTTGAGATTGACATGTGAGTGTCTGTCCAGCCCTTGTATTCCTCAGTCGGGGGTTCTTTCCCTCCCTCATCCATATCCTCCAAGATATCCATGGCTTCATCTGTATCATCGTCTTCCTCATGGTCCATACACCACACAACAGCTGAAAGCAAAACATTTTAGCTAAAGTGAGGGTGGTCAGGTGGCAGAGTGGGTAATGCACTCACGTGTCATCAAGGCGGCCTGGGTACAACAGATTTCAAAATCTATGGGGTCACTTGCCAGACAATGTGAGTCATCTCCAGGTACTCCCATTTCCTCCCACATTAAGACCTCCATGCCATTAACATCCAGGTCAACAAGATCGATTAGTTGATAAAATACGCAAATAAAATGATTTGTTTGTTATTATATGTGCCTGAAATCATGAATGGACATTAAATAAATAATTCCAAACATATATTTGACTTTAAAAGCACATTACGTCCAGGTATTTGAATTTCTGCTCACAAGAACTTCCAGTCGGATGGGAGCAAGTGAAACAATCATTCCCGCAATAATTTTCATAAAGAAAACATTTTGTAATGCTGGTTCCAGGGCTTTCTAATGTTAAATACATCGCTGTTTAGTTAAAACGAACTTATTGGATTTTGTAATGAATTTTAAAATCAGTATGTAATAAAATTATTGTGCGAAACACTGGTGCATCACGTCACGGACACGGGAGAATTATAACATTGAACAGTGCCATTCTACACACCAGCATTTATGACTGGATTTTTGTTATCAATCTAAATTAAGTTCTCAAATTATGAATATGAATTGATACATATTCTGGTGTTTTTTTGTAGATATTTTTGTTGCAATTGTCGAAACTCTATAACTTGACGATTATTCTATATATAGTAACAGTCAGAGATCACATGATCAAGATTCATTCAAGATGGTAGCGATAGATGTGTGTATGTCGAGTTGATCAGTATAAAAGTAATTTTCATGGGGGTTTCGTAATGTTGACGAGCTTAAAACATGCAATTTATGTTACAAATAGCGTTCTCATTACGTTTCAAGTGATGATATTGACTAATCAAGCTGTTATTTACGCTGTCATGGTAGATGATTGCATGAAAGTTCGGACAATGAAAACGTCAATGAATGTGAAGTCCAAGACTTTGAACGTAACTTTGCGGCACTGCTAATTAAGACATCAAGACATAGTATATGGATAAGTTTTTAACATCGTCTAATCTCCTCACAATTTTCTACAATTAAAAATGATTTCCCATCACTACTGTGACTGCAGTGCAGGGGCGTATCCAGAAAATGTATCACTACGTTATTTAAGTCAGTTTGTGAAATAACTGTCAGCCTTTAAAACAATTTTCTTCATTTCAAAAATGTTTTGACAATTTCTGACAAATTTTTGTCGTTTATTTAGTTTTGCATGTTTAGAAATATGATAGGATACTTATGTTGTCACACCGTACTGTTTCCTGGGATTTTGTCCCCATTTTTTGAATATTTCAATTGAGTCCATGAGCAATGTTTAAAAGGTAGGCAGATGAAACTTGCTCAAATTGCATAGAACTATATAAATCTTGTTCAGAATACAGAATATTCACTTTTATTGCAAAATAAAAAATGCTGCATGATATATATATATATATATATCAAAAGTGTTCCATTTTGGGTACCCTCACCCTATATTTGGGTACCCTCACCCTATATTTGGGTCTGAACCGTTTCATTTTACACAAAATTAATTAGATACCGCAGTCTTGGCCTTGTACTTTTTCTCTATAATATACATCTGAATCCTAACTAAATTCCTGTTGTAGTTTTTTTAGTTAAAAGACCCGAGTGAAATGAATCGTCAATATATTGTTCATTTGAATTTATTTAATTTAAGTTTATACAAATGCATATCTAAGGTATTCTATCTCCTGGACCTCCAGAGTTAGGATGCATAATTTGTTGAAAAATTGTTAGTTCATTACTGTATTACAAATGTATTAAATGTGATGTGTTGATGTTGTTAACATATACTTTGTATTTTTTATGTATTCTAGTAGTAGAGCTAGATGATGTGAATTTATAAAGGGAAAGCATGTGTTTAAATCACAAGATCAATTTAATTTTAAGTAGAGTATGTCATTACTTGATTACCACGTGATTAGTTGCATAAGGCTAGAGATGAGGTCATCATACTAATTATTTATAGATATCACGTGACATTAATGACCAATGGTCAGTTAGTTAGGTGACGCTATAAGCATCAGTTTACACAAAGAGATTGTGGAGGCTGGCGGTAATTTTCATCTCAATATTGACGATTATTTCATTGCACCACTTTGCAATACTACACTATCATATTCTCACGGAACAATTAGCTAGAATTACTACGGGACTACTTTTGTTGTGTTTTTCACGGATTTTATGTGTTTTTCACGGATTTGAACTTATTTACTTGTTGGACTAACTTTTGGAGATCCCTGCGGAATTCTTGTGATACGTTACGGGATCTGGCCAAGGTTGTGGATAAATCCTTCGGGTACAGAGAGATGAATTCCCAACTGGACACTGTGATTTGTTTCGGATTTTATGCCTGAAAGTACTTTCTGTACAGAGTTTCATACTTTATTTAGTCTGTTTTGGACCTGTGTAAGATCATCATGGGACCCAAACAAAGGAGCAATCCTCGGCCTATGCCATACGATTTGAGCATGCCGGACAATTGGACCGCTAAACAACTCCGACAAGAATTGTCTAAGCTAGGCATTACGGCTCCATCGACTACCAAGAAAGCTCAGCTTCGAGCGATGTTCAAAGAGCAGTCATCCATCACCAGCTCTGATGGTCAGTCGTCTGTGACGGAGAATCGACGACCACTTGTGCGGATACAGAACTCTCTAACCCAGAATGCAACAGAAGTCGCCAACAACCAAGATGGCGTCTTATCCGCCATTTCACACCTGTCAGACACGATGTCGACGAGACTGGCTGATTCCCTGTCAACAATTCGGGGAGACATGCAGCGGATGCAATCACGCATCAATTCTTTAGAAGGAAGACCTTCCCCAGCAGCTTCGGCAGGTAGTTCAAGGCAATCTGCGAGGGATACAGCCCCGGTACCACCAAACACGACGCTCGTAGATTTCCCAGCTCAGGACCCTATATGTTCGCTCTACAAACACGAGGTACCTCAGAACACAGGATCTGCACCGAGAAATAACAGATTTACCCTCCAAACGGCTAAGGAAGCTCACTCATCTCGGCCGTTCCCATCATCAGAGGGAATTTCTCGCCCAACGAATTCCTCGGACAACTTCGTCAGGACACAGTACGGATACTCCACGGAATCCCTCCCCTTCGTAGAAGTTATTTCTCCAGCCGTACGCCGGAACATTACAGAAGGTAAGGACCTTAACCTTGCTTCTTTATTGATCCCATATTTCACGGGATCCTACACCAATGGGGATGGGGTTACAGAATCTAAACCGGATCCCAGACTAATGAAAACTCTGACGATAGGAGAATTCATACAGGCCTTGGGTATTTACAAACACATCATGTGTCAATCGTTTCCCTCCAGACGTGAAGAACTGGACTTATATGAGAGGGATATAATCGACATGGCATCAAGGTATGGGGGAGCCGGTTTTTACGAATACCACAAGCAGTTTAGTGCCAAGGCTGCAGCCTACCTCACTTACCAAAACATTCGGGTAGATTGGTCTATCAGAAATAATGCACTATTCTGTAACATTTTTGCCAACTTGAAACCAGTCAGCTGCCATATATGTAACAGTGTTAGTCACAAGGCAGGGTTTTGCCCACAGACAACAATCAACAATCAACAACAGCGCCACAGTAGTAGCAACACAGACAAACATGGCAGAATTAAAAAGCTCCATCAGGGTAAAGAGATCTGCAACAATTATAATGACAAAGGCTGTCATAGATTCCACTGCAACAACCTACATGTGTGTATCGTATGTTTAAAGGAGCATTCTAAAAGAGACTGCACATCTCAGGATTTCAATTCAAAAAACGATACAGCCCCCCGGACTCTTCACAAGCAAGGGAATCGATAGGGGGGCTTCCCATGGTCTCAACCCCAATAAACGTTGACAGGCTAGAACTTGAGTTATCATCGCACCCAGACCGTGAATTTGTGTCACATTTGTTAAATGGATTACGACAAGGTTTCGACACAGGAATCAAATCCATTCCTACAACGTGTATAGAATGTAGGAACTTACTGTCGGCTAGGGCCCAGCCAGACATAGTGACTGACTTAATTAAATCAGAGATAAGTAAAGGCTTTTTAGCAGGACCTTTTCACTCTGTACCTTTCCAGGTGTATAGAATCAAACCCATAGGTATCGCTGAAGGGAAGTATTCAAAGAAGAAAAAGTTAATTGTAGATTTATCTTCTCCTCATGACGACAAAGACAATCCCAGCATGAATGAACTTATCGACAAAGATGAATACTCACTACAGTATGTGACTATAGATCATGCAATAAAAATTATCAAATCGTTAGGTCAAGGTAGCTGGTTGTGCAAGACAGACATTTCTGATGCCTTTAAACTGATACCCATTCATCCCTCTTTGTGGCCATTCTTTACCCCCAATTCAGTTATGTATATATTTTGTCATAAACGTATATTGTGTATATATATAGTCTACATTATAGATTTATTGTCTGAAGTGAGTCTGTATCTTTGTACCTGCAGATGTAGTCCCCCTGTTAGTCACGTTTCCATACCTGCTAGGGGGACACCTCCCGAGTCACGTACACATTCTTTACACTCACTGTTATGCATTTGAGATCGCTCAAATGGCTACTGTATCTGGTGGACTACTCCACCTCTTTTGTCTGTACAAGAGTGAGTCTTTGTACCTGAAGACGTAGCCCCCTGTTAGTCACATATTGCCTTAAATACCTGCGAGTGGGGTTACCTCCTGGGCCATGTACTTACATTCATGCTTGCTGATATTCACACGCCTAGTGGGATCGCTCGCTAGGACACATGTCTTTTTCTGTCTTACACAGCAGGGTCGCCTGCCTCGTGTCGAGATCGCTCGATGAGTTAGTATTAATATGTATTTTGTATGTAAAGTACCGTGTTTGTTTTAGGTCATATTATGTTGAGTAGTTTAAATTACTTATGAGCAGCCCCCAAGAATGCCAAAATAATAATCTTAATTTTTTTATAACTCAACAAGTCACTAGTTTCGAACCTTTAATAAATTTTCTTGAACTATAATTACTTTTGTTTTGTTGTGTATAAATATATCTTTGTAATTAAGCATTGAACAAGCGTGCATTATGATTTGTTTGCTTGCAAAGCTGTGTCATTCAAATAGATCATAAATACCATACAAAAACAGTTCAATACTTATATTTCCGTTTTCTCTGCCTCTTATGTTCTTTTTTAACTTATAATTTATATTCAAAATTAAAAATGCCCGCCTTATCGACAGTCCACACAATTTCTTTCAATAGTTTGAACAGCGTATTGTCGCGTGCTGATTGGCAAACAAAGTAGTACTTTGAAATTTTAACAAACGCTTCAATTTTATTCCACAATTCAGTATCAATACAATTGCGTATGGTATGTCTATAGGGTGATTTATGTTTATCAATAGAACTCTGAGCTGAAAGTTAGTCAAGGGAAGGGTGGGTGTCGCATACACTGGTGACATCCCTTTGGATCTGCCTCGGCAATATATGACCGTCTCACACAGGATCACCTCCCTGGCAATGGCACACTTCAGTCATGTGCTATGTGTGCTACATAAGATATGTAAGAGTGGACTGCAAAACAAAACAGCCAAACAAAATTTGGTGGCACTAAATGCCAGAAATATCTGTGCCTTTCCCAATGTTTCTCTTGAATACAATTCACAGGCAAAATATTTCTGAATGGCCTAGCAGATCATCTGATGTACTGCAAGATGTACATGTGATTGTGGTATCTTGGCTGGTACCACAGAATACGATAACATGTATGTAAGGCCTTGCTGGTACTAATCTGTGTGGAGATTGCTCAACAACATAACGGCCAAGAGGAGTTGTCAATTTCTTGAAAATATATCATAAAAAAAAAGTAGAAAAAAGATGTTAATAATAATACTTCCTGAACTTGGAACACAAGAAAGTGCATGCTGTATTCGGAGGAAAATACAAGTGAAATTAAATCCTCGAACGTGGAAATAAGGGTAGAAATAAATGCTGAACTTTGAAAAAACAAAAAAAAGTGAACAAAAAATGCTGGTCCTTTTAAAATATTTATCTATGTGACTACCTTCTCATGGTGCAAATGTTTAGCACTAACTAACTTGATTGTTTATTGTCTTGGTTTTTTTTTTATTTATTTATTTACATTCATATTCTTTCTTTTTAATAAGTGTTATTGTAGACTAGTGTTGTGCTTCCTAACATTTTTTGTCAGCTGGAGTTATCCCTCTTGTCGTACATGACGCAATGGTCGACTTACTTAAAAAATGGCGGCATGCAATCATGCTCCGGATTTAACATAAATACTGAAGATATTAGGATATGTATGCTGTAATCGGATCTCCTAGTTGTAGTTAAAACATATACATTATACTTCTCATTGAAGAACAGTAAAATGTGTATTGCTGAGGCACACATACTGCTTTGGTGGCGTAAAAAACGAAAGTAAACAAAGGACCTGTTACAGGAACAAAAGAATTTTGCCCACAAAGCAATTAACCATTACTGGGTTATATTTGTAGCTCCGTAAGACACGACCCATGAGATATTTTTTAGAAATTAAAAAAGGTCCCCAGGGCCTGTGCTATGAATTATTTAGTGCCGCCTTCCAAAGGTGTACGACAGGGTTCACTTTTTTGTCCAAAAAACTATCAAAACAATGTTTTACGCTATCAAATGATATTATTTTATTTAAAGTAGGATCTGCTGCAAATTATGAACTCAAATATGTAAAAAAAAACATAGCATAATATGTTTTTTATAAAATCTTGTTTGCTACATCAATTGATATGTACCACAAGCCAAAATCGCATTGACCTGTAGTTATTGACGATTTATTTTGACATTGGTCATACAACATATTATCCTTAAGATGACACATTTACCCATACAACATATTATCCTTAAGATGACACATTTACCACATTTCGAAATTTCTACTTTCGTCGGTCAACATAATGTGCCAAATGATATCCAAAGTATGTTAGTGTACACAAACCGGAAATATGTCTAACACTTCCGTAAAGATGCGAAACAACTAAAAATGTACATAACATACTAAACTTTTATGTGTGTGAGACTACATAACTTTTTTATTTTGTACCATCTAGCTTTATAATTGGGCTCATCATGAGCAGCAGATCTTATTGATGAAAATTTGATCAGTTGCGATAATAAATTGGTGCGACATATTGTTAAATTATCAAACATGACTATAGGTCATAAGGTTGTTGGATTTTATTTGGAAATAGACGTTGCTACAATTTGACATTTATATGACAAATTTACCGGTTCTCAAATTTTCTGAAATTTTCACTATCGTATCTCAACATAATGCACCAAATAATATTAAAAGATTTTTGGTGTACAAGAACCGGAAATTGGTGTTTTACTTCCGTAAAGCAATTGATGTAGCAAAAAAGTGTATGAAAATACCAACATTTTTAGAGTTTAAGATTTTATAAATTTTTTATTATGCAATTTTTTGTATCATATTTGAGTTCATAATTTGCAGCAGATCCTACTTTAAATAATATTATATTATTTGATAGCGTAAAACATTGTTTTGATAGTTTTTTGGACAAAAAAGTGACCCCTGTCGTACACCTTTGGAAGGCAGCACTAAATAGTTCATAGCACAGGCCCTGGGGACCTTTTTAATTTTTTAAAAATATCTCATGGGTCGTGTCTTAGGGAGCTACAAATATAACCCAGTAATGGTTAAATTGCTTTGTGGGCAAAATTCTTTTGTTCCTGTAACAGGTCCTTTGGACTTCTGTTCTCCGCAAGCACAACACGTAAAGAGGCAAGCTATCAGCGCATACTTTCTTTTATTCTTGCTATTATTATGTTCTTTACATAAAAATGGAAGCTTTAAGTATTCCTTTCATAAATTTATGCCAGAGAACTTATTCCACGCCGTATTTTCTACAGAAATCGTGTTTAACAGTACGTAGTCAAAATGAGACGTCAATTTCCTGAATTAATTCAGGCCAGGAAAAGACGCGTGCAAATAATCTCAGGGCCAGAATACCCATCATGCAATTTAATTCAGTAACGAAAGTGTTAACAAGCATATGGGAGGGAAATTATTTGAGAGTACTGCCCGCACAAGCATATATATATGCAGTAAGTGTTTTATTGCTTGATAAAGATGTTCAGGTCATTGTAATGATCATTGATATAAGCATTTTGAAAACGTAAATTGTAAAGCAGAAAATCTGCAAATAACATTGTGAACATTCAGAAATGGGTTGCATGAAAGTATGCACCACACTGCAGGATCATCTTCAACAGATAAGAATGGCTTATACTGTATCATTAAAACATGTACATATATTTCTAGGATATGGACTTGATGTATGCGTCAGGCCATATAACATAATATACTAAATACTGAAACAAATAAATATCATGTCTGTGCCAGAAACAGTCTGAAATATTTTGATCCTTGTTTTTGGACCATCAATAGTTCTTTTGACTGAACACTTTGAGAATATATTCAAAATTATTGCCGGATCAAGCATGAAGCATGTGCATCATATTCAAAGGGGATTTCAGGTCGAATATTTTGACATCACAATGTGTACCTGTTTGGGTTACATTCTGGTAATGGTGGGCTAAAGCACAGACCCTCAGATAAAAATCAATCATTTACGGTTCAACTTGCTACATCCTTTTTACCACTGAGAACTGGTACGAAATATAAACTTACCATCATCTATTTCATCTGCTTTGAAATGGTGTAAAGCCTTCTTGGCTAGCTCCTCACTGTAGCCTGTTTTCATCACTTCTCTGATAAATACTGCTTCCTCCTCACCCTCTTCAATCTCTGCCTCAGAAGATGTTTCAGACTTTTCTTCAACCCGAAGTTCATCCATACTTTCCACCTCTCTCTGGGCAGCCTTCATGGCAGAAATAAGATCGGACATACTACAGTCCTTCTTTATCCCCGACAGCAGGGGGAAGATCAACTTGGACGGTTCCTCGTCCGTCCCAACCTTCACAAGCTCTCTCTGGAGGATGACCATCTGGTCGATGGTCAGATAGTTCAGTTCATAGTATTTATCTCTCTTGTCTGCAATGTACTTCAGCCATTCCTCATAGCATTTCTCCATGAATTTAGCAATTCGCGGAACGATTGAGCTGACATCATCATCCTCGTTGGCTTTGCGTCCTTTTAAGGTATTAAGCTGATCTCCCATCCCAAAAGTTATGAAAGAGCATGCCTTTCGAGTTCTGTCACACAAGAATTTCACTTTCCATTCTGAGAACAACACACATCCTGATGACACAAGCTTGATATAGGTGTTGGCAAGTCGTACAACTGAATCCAAAATCTGTAATAGTATAACAGAATTAGATGAAACTGTCTTGCTTTTTTGGGTTTTTTTTCAAAATTCATGCATTAATAGTTTTGTATTAACAGTTATTAGTAAAAAGAACATTCACATCTATACACTTCTTCATGTACATAAACTAAAGTACTACAGGGGGGGGGGGGGGGGGGGAACAATTACATTTATGTCCCATGCCAATCTGACATACTTAATATCCTTCTGATCCATTATTATAACTTAATATATGAAAATGTGGAAATGTGAGGAGAAGAAAAAACATTTGTACTGTATTGTATATTACAAAACCATGAAAACAGAAACCGAAAATGGCCCCTTTTACCCAATAATAAATTCATCTTAAACCATTAAAACAATCAGAGCACAGTACTCTATTAACTATGCACAGATTTTGCTCAGCTTTGAATTTATAGCCTCAGTCTTTATATAATGTATGCACATAAACTTTCATCAAAACTGATATTAAAGCAAGTCATTAACTAATCAGAGCACAGTATTCTTATAATTTATATTCTATTTTGACCAAGTTCGAACTTAAGCCTCAGTCTTCGTATGATGTACATGCATACTAAGTTTCATTAAAACTTAACAATATTTTAGCAAGTTATCTTGCAGAAACCAAAGAGTGGACGGACGGACTGAAGAAAGCTCCCATACCATAATATGTCCTGTCAAACATTTTGACGGCCACAAAAACATTACTTTACTTTAGAAAAGGTAAAACTAACTTCCTAGTTGTATGTTTTATTAGTGTAGTAAAGAGAATGGTATTGATATCTAAAGTGTTTAACATGGTTTTACATATTCTCTGGAAACAACGGAAATCATCTAAATCCATTCAGCTTTGTGAAACATACAGATGTATTTACCAGTGTAAAACGGTCCACGTCTTCTTTACCCATCTCTGCCTTGCCAGCCACCAACATGAGCCGACTCTGTAGGTCATGGAGCTGGTCGTAGTGGTAAAGTTTTCTCTGTCTCGCTCCATTCTCATCTTCTGACACGTGTAGGCTGATCACATCCTTCAACTCCTATAGAAACATGTTTTACAACAACACACAACATATTATTTCAAGCAGAAACTTACTATGTTCTAAAGCCTTTACAGACACCAGGAATAAAATGAACTACAAGGTGCAAATATTAGTCCTTTGAACACAGTAAGACACCGATATAAATGTAACATAGCTAGGTGTCTTGACTGCTAGAATGTGTCGGATAGATATTGTACGAGCTGGGCCCTTCAGGGAATTCTGTCACTAGTGTCAGGAATCACATGTATGATGTATATAGCGTGACATTTCTATTACAATCCTTCAAAGTATCCCCCTCTGCAAATACGCACTTTTGCAATCGCGCTTATAATCCATGACGTAAATGCTGTGCAGTAGTCTCCCCTTGGTATACTAAAACACAGGAAGATTGCACTACCGAGAGCACTCCAAGAGTCATACAGATAGCATTTTTAAGCTTCTTTAAATTCAAGCACTTGGTCAGAATATGATGTGTACTACCAACCATATGAGCTCTCAGAAACAGTAAAACCACCATTGTCCTAATATTTACTACCAACCATATGAGCTCTCTCAGTAACAGTAAAACCACCGTTGTCCTAATATTGACTACCAACCATACGAGCTCTCTCAGAAACAGTAAAACCACCATTGTCCTAATATTGACTTCCAACCATATGAGCTCTC